TATGCACTGTATATTAACTCTCTGAACCCCAAAAGGCATGCTGTCTTTCAAAAATGGCCAAAATTTCACCACTACCAGAGTCAGAAACTGTAAAAAGCGAAAGAACCACTGGGTTTTCAATTTTCCAATGGTCCATGAACTTCTCATCTGTGGCATTGGGTTCCAACTGTGAATTTAATCAAATATAAGGTCATCTAAATCATGATGTTTCATCAAAATCACCTAAAATTCTCCAAAAATCTATTATCTGTATTTTAACAGTATTTTTTTAAAGGCCAAAACTATGTCTACATGAAACATTTGTATTTCTAAAAATATAAATGGTAATTTGTTCTTTTACAATGTTTGACCATAAAATGTAATTATATTTTGCTGTATTTACTTAGATTTTACACATACTAATATTTAAAAGAAAATATAGAGATATTATTGTTTAGAAATGTGTAAATACTGTTTAAACTGTTATTGTACAGATTTACCCTGTTTTAATAAATTACAGATAATAAAAAAGTAATAATTTATAATCAGAAATACTTTATTGATCCCAGCGGGGAAATTGCTTAAATGCTAATTTATAAAGTGACTGTAAAAAAAATAAATTTTAAAAAAGTGAGAAAAAAACTACACAGTTTTACTTTACTTTTTCCATAAATCAGCTAATAATATATATTAAAAATATATATTTACAGTTTCTGATGTATGTTTTCTGGCACCCTTGCTACCAGATTTTTGCAGATTTATTTATTTTTAATATTTTTATATATTGCAGTTTAGACTAATTCAAATACAGTTAACATTTTGTGTGTTAGAGATGCTGCAGCGTATCATCAGATCTGTGGGAGGGACGGCGTTTCATTAGTACACATGCTTTGATGGATCAAAACCTCTGCTGTGAGAAGCATCTTTCTCTCACTAAAGCCAACAAGCGGTGCAGTTTGAGTGAGCTGCGTCTGAACGGGGAACGTGCTCGTGCATAAGCGATCTATTCTGCTGTGTGTGAACATACAGACGACACAGAGGCCAAGCCAGAGGAGCTGGTGAGGTTAGTCATTGAGCTGCCCATCGTTAGTCGTCTTCGCTGATAACTGTCCTTGTAGATGGAGTCGGCGTCTCCGCCAGCGTCCTGAAACACAGACAGCAGGCGCAGAAAGCTCTGTGGACGGCGAAGCAGAGAAGGGTTTGTCCTGCTGGACTAAAACAGGAGAAGCTTTACCTCCTTCTGTAGGAATGAAGGAACCGATTTGCTCATTTTCTTCAGGTGGTCTGGGTCCGAATATAAGGACGAGGAGGGTGACGGGATGGTGGAAGCTGAAGAGGAGTTAATTAAGAAACAGGAATAGAAACAAATGTTGACTATGTTGCCAGTGTGTTTGCAAAAATGTCTATAATGAAAAGTATCAGGCAGTTTGTACCATCACTAACACGTCTGAGGTCAGGCGTTGGGTCTTGTCTTCTCTCTTGTCCTGTGTGAAGCAGAAAACAGAAGCAGCTGTCATCTAAAGTTATTCTGTACATTTTTAATCATTTAGACTTAAAAGTTGAGGACAAGCTCACGTGGTGATAGCGATGCGGTGATGTCCTCCATGCTTTTAGCCAGATTTTTGGGCCTTGTCTCTGCCCTCCATAGTGCTTTCCTTACAGGATTCTGGTCATCGTCGTTTTCGCCTGCATTGTGAGGGAAAAAGCTGTGATTAGTAGGCTCAGTTTGTTGATTCCTGAACAGGTTTTTACTGGTTTTTGACAGTAATGGGTGCGACTGAACAGATAAGATGTTAATTGTAGGACAGAGTCTATGTTTTAACTTGTGACGGCTCCTAAAAACCAGAGTAACATGTTGACATTTTGAGCTGCAATGTGTTTATTTATGTCAGTCCATACTCTAATTAGGTAGGCATCTAAAAAAGTACTTTTACAGTTGACTGTTTTGTATATCATTTTAATAATTTGATCTATGCAACACTATAAACCTGCACAAAATGTCCACTACAATATCCCAACGCAATGTCACACCATCAAATGTGTGGTTTCATTCAAGCAACAGTTGAAAGATTTTCAGTTTATTTTACTTTAGCAGCACATTATCTAATTTGAAAACTTTAAAACCAGCAGATGCTTGATTATTATTGTTTTTTTGGTAATTAACCTAAAATTGATTCTACAACTGATTACAGACAAACTACCTTTTGATCAGCTCATCAATTAATCACGCCATAAAACCAATACACACAAATGAAAATCCAGGTATTTGTGGTTCAGTGAATAAAATAAGTTTATAAATATACAAACAAGTAGACAGTTGTAGGAACTGAAGAAAAGAAAAAGCTACTGTTGTTTACTCTAAAGTGATTCCTTACATATATAAAGTGTATGTTGTTAAATGGATCTCCTTAGTTTGTGCTGTCATGAACCCTGTTACATTTTCTAACCTGAAATGGACAAACACTTCTTCAAACGTGCAGTTCATAAACTTTTAACATCATGTCTTTGAGTAACGCTGGATCCAGTTTGTGAACTGAAACCTGCTGTGAAGACAGTTGTAGGTTGGTAAAACCTTCCTGTGTGCTTTCAGTAAACTCAGACCTACGTGTTGCTCAGCCCACAAACTAAACACGGGCAGCTGACCGCAGGCTCACACACTGTTTACAGAGATTTGCTTCTGCCAACACAGATACCCGACACGGACGCGATATCAAGGATACTGCTGGATCCAACCCAAGGTGACCATAAAACATCTGCGAGTCTGCAAACAGCAGCAGTGGAGATTATTTCATAACAGATGTTAAGAACTATTTAACTTCCAATAGATAATGAACAAACGAAATGTTAAAATATTTAGATTAATATGCACAATATAGACTATCTACATGCTCCTTTAGTCCTGACTTTGTTCTATTATTTATCACGTTGCTGTGATTTCAAAGTTTCTATTTAGTTAGGATTTCATGCAAGTAGCAGGAACTGAAATGTGTTCAAACAAAAGAGAAATAAAGAGATTTTTTTTGCAATAATGAGCCGATTTTTGCAGTCAGTCAACCTGTTGGTTCAAGAAATATTCTGATATTTATTATATTTGAAGGCCTCATGTATGTCTAAATCTTTTGTTGGTTTTGCTCTGACATGAGCCTTTCTGACTGAACGTTTGCATAATAAATTTCAGGACAATGATAAGCATGCAGATGTGCAGACTTTGCTTATTTGAATGCAGCCCCTTTTTGTGTTAGCGTGCTCAAATGTATTGATTTATTTTTTAATTTTTGTGAGTTTGTTTAAAGGTTTTTGTTACTTTTTCTACTTTTTAATGTATTTTAACTTGATAATTTGGTGTTTTCATATCATTAACATCTATGTGTGCACTGAAAAATGCAACATAAAGTTAGTCTGTTGCCATTCAAAGTACTAAAAATGTACTTTAACTCACTTCATGTACTTCAAGGTACAAAGACTACTCGTAGGATTACTCACTAAAACTTACAGAAAGAGCTGACATACCCTAGAGTGTATTGGTGGGGGGAAAATACAGTAAAAATGTGTTTGTACACTGTAAAAAAGAATCTGGATCTCACGATTTGAACTGTTTCTGGATGTGGACCAGCTTTCTGACGTGCTGCTCACGGACGACTCCGGGCCGGCGTCGGAGCTGCTGTAGTTGGCCCACGGGGGGCGCTGGCTCATCTTCCCGCCCTTCTTGAGGTAACGTTCCTCAGAGCTCACAGGGGTGCTGGCCCTTACCGGTCCACTCGTGTCGAGCTCGAACCCAGATTTGCCCTCCGACCCTTCGTCCTTCAGAGTCGGGGCGAGTGAACCGTGGATGCCGGGCGTGTCGGTCATCCCCAGGTAGTGGCGGTAATCTCTGGGAACAAACGCTCGCGCGCGTGGAGCCAAAGTCTCAGCTTCCTCTGACGATCTCCTCGACCCTTTCTCTGAGTTCTGCCTCTGCTTCCTGCTCTGGGAGTGAAACGGGCTCACGTCGGCTCTCTGATCTTTTTCATCAGCGACACTCAAAGCGAACATACTCGTGGCGCGACGCAAAGAATTTCCGCGACTGCTCGAGTTGCTGAAGCTGTCTTTTCTGCCTTTAGGGGGACGGATGTCTTTTCCCGAACTGCTCTGTAGTTTTGTGAACTTCTCCTCTCTGCTGGAGTCCTTTGAGCTCCTTTTCGACTGCCTCTGCTGGCCCGGCTCAGCTGACGTGTAATTATGCAGGTTGTTTTTGCTGTCGCTCAGTCCTCTCGACCCCAACCCCATCTGTCTGTCGTGAGGCGACTTTGATCGATTTTGAGGAGGCGGGGACGACTTCGTGGCAGCTGGTCTTGTTTTCTCGACAGCGGAAGATAAGCGGTAAACGTCTGGGTCACCGCTCTTTAATTCCGGAGATGAAAGCTGGGCACTTAGCGGCTCTTTTCTTTTGGGGCTCTTGGGCTTGTCAAAGGAAAACGATCCCTTAGAGTCGGATGTGGCCTCGTCCCAGAAGTCACGCAGGGTGTTAAACTGTCTCCGGCTTGTGCCAAGGCTCGGAGAAAGCCTCTCTAATCTCTGATTTAACGGGAGAATAGTGAAATTGGGATGACTTCTGTCAGCGTCTTCCTCATCGCTGCCTGATACGTTTCCAACTGACGTTAGGTCGAACTCTGACTTTGTGAATCTTTTGTTCAGTTTTGCCTGATTCGCTCCACGAGAGACTCTAACATCTCCAAGAGCTTTAGGTTTGCCGGTGTAGAACATGGGCTTGTTTCTTTCCTTCTCCCAGAATGATTTGAGTTGCTGGATCCTCTCCGCTGTACTTTCCTGATGTTGAAATCCTTTCCTGCTAGACGTATCCTCTTTTCTCCTTGGTGGCACACTTTTCTCCTCATTGTCCCTCCTCCTTAAGTCTTCGTTTGAGCCTCTGCCTCTGACCTGCGCTTCATTCCCACCTTGTTTACACTCCACATTCTGGCTGTTTCTGGACAATCGGAGTTTCTCTGTTTCTAAATCCATCTGAGACGCAGCAACGGTCTTTGACATGTTTTCTTGCAGGATGTCTTCTCTTGATTCCGATTGCGCATTTGGTTCGAAAAAAGAGACGCTCTCAGATTCTGGATCGATGGCTGTTCTTGTCGACGGGTTGAATCTGGTTAATAAAATCTCAGCGTCAGACACTTGGGGACTGGACAGCAGCTTTAGACAATCTGAGCCGTAATCTAAGCCATTATTGTTCCTTTTAGATGATTCAACCCCCTGGTAGTTAACTTCCTGGTGGAAGCTGTCCACCACGTCCGTCTCTGAACTCGTCTCCAGCTGCTGCTCTCTGTCACCGCTTTGAATCGAGTTGTAATTATCATAAATCTTCTCGCTGTATTTTACAGGACTAGATGGCACATTGGACTGATTCTCCACTGACAGCTGAGCAGGTTTTTGTCCTTTGTTGCCGATAAGTATTTTGGGGCCTGTGCTGCTTTTCTCCCACAAGGACTTCAGATGGGAGATATTAGGTGTTTGGCTTTCATCAACATTATCTTTCCCATCCTGCGAGTGAAATCTTCCTCTAATATCAGCCTCCTCATGTGTTTCCATCAGTTCCTTGCTGCTTATTCTGTCCGTCGCTCTTAACTTTTTATCCTCATTGCTCTGTCTTTGCAAATGACTCCTCCTTTCTGTCTTTCTGTCGGCGTCGTCACCTCTCGATTTACTCACTTCTACGTGTTTGTTGGAGGTCTTCGTTGCTGCCGGAGCGTCTTCTGTGCTCAGCCAATCGCCGCTGTCCATGCTGCGGCTGAACCAATCCAGCACCTTAGTGATGGAGTCCTCCTCGTCACCGGTGGGACTTGTGCTCTGAGTGGATAATTTAAAGATGTGCGCCTGGTTTGACCTCTGGTTTTGCTGATCAATGTAGTTGAGATCATACGATAAAGGAGGATCTGGCTCTGGAAAGAAAGGAATGAAAAGCGAATTAAAGAGTAAGAAACGACTTACGGGAAAAAACTGCAGCAGTAATTTAATATATCATCAACAACGGTACCTGTGTTGTAGTTTTACTTAAGTGGAAACGAGTGAGATAAATTAGGAACCCTTTTTTAGCAGTGGTGCCAGAGGAATGGCAACGCTTGTCTCTGGATTGTTCAGTTTATCACTTTGGATGGATTTCGATCACATTTTTTTTGTCATGTATGCTGACTCAAATACCTTATTACTCTTCCATTATCCTCAACTTTATTAATGGTAGAAACTGAAGCTAGTTAACAGGTTGAATTGCTACACATCAGCATGTTAGTATTACAACTGTGTAAAATGTCCCTTTCTGGAGCTTCACCTACTTCCAAGGTGCACAGAAGAGGGTTAAACATGGTGTCGTCCATGTGCTCTGTTGGATATTTGTGGCATTTTACCAGCTTGGGACAACAATTTGCTTAAAGCCACACAATCAAATGTTAAAGGCGCCCTATTGGCTGATAAGTGTGTGGCTTTATATGACTGGTTGTATTGTTTTCTATCTGATTTAAAATGCATTCTTACTCCTCTTTTCAATATTGAATCATGCTCAGTTTAATTCAGCTTCATTGATAAGAATTTCTACAAAGTATTGCTATTAATAAAATATATAATACTTTCTAAAGCCACTGTATGTTTTTATGAGGACTCAGATGAAGGCCACAGAGTAAAACACACTGTGCTCGATACACGAGTGTTGCCACAGTGAAATAAAGAGAAATAAAAAAATGTTTAACATCATTATGTCTGTTTTCCTAACTTATTTCAAATTTTGCTTTTCTTGTGCACACTTTCACCTCTGCAGAACCCCTCGTAATCCTTAAACAATCCCAGATGATGGAGAAGACAAATGTTGCCACTGCCGTCTTATGTTATGTCTTGTTAGTGAACTTACCCACGGTGCTTTGCGGTAAACTCGGCTCTTCCTGCCTCATTGCTGTCCCTACATGTCTGTTGCTTTCTTTGTCCTGGATTTTGTTGGTGTTTTGGGCGACTAAGTTCAAAGCTGCATTATGTCTTTGGGTCTGATCGTCTTGTTCTTCTCTCTTCTGCAGTTTCTCAGTGGACTCGTCAGTCCTGACGTAAGGTCTGAAATCCAACAAGTCGTGAGTTGCAGAGGAAGAAGGGAGTTTAACTAAAGATTTTGAGTGAAATCCATCTACTGACCTGTCTCTTGTTATAGAAGGTGGTTTTCGTTCTCTCTCCATACTTGAATTAGGGAAAACTTGAGGAACGTCACACGGCGGCTGCAGGGAATCTTCCTCTGCAGACTGAGATTCCTGATTAGAAACCGTCACTGCACTTTTCTGAGGCACTTCTTCTTGGCTCTTCAGGCAGGACTGGTTCGAGCTCCCGCTGGACCCCCGCTGGAGGTTCGATCTTGGGGCAGGAACAATCCCGGCCGACCCCACCTGAGCGTCCGAGCCCAAGCCATTGCTTTCTGTCTGATTGCGTCTTGAGAGAAACGTCCTCTTCTTTGGCACCGGCCTAAAACCTACAGAGGAGCCCTCTGATGTGACGGAGCCTCCCGAAGTCTGGCTGGTCTCACCGGCTGGAGGGTTCTTCAGTGGACAGATGGGCTCTGATGGGATTGCAGAAGACAGATAAGAGCATCTCTGCGCCATTTCCTCCTTCACAGCCTCAGAAATGTGTTGTGAAATTCCAGCTCAAACCTGTCTCTGGGGACTCCTTGTCCTGAATGATTGACAAGTCGTGGTTATTTTCAGGAGGCTCAAAAATACTGAGGGAAGGACGGTTAAATGGGTTGTGCCTTGGCTTGAAGAAAAAAGAACAGAGTTAATGATTTACATTACACTAGCTGCAATATGACTTCCTGTCTGTTTTGTAACACACATACCGTTCTTGGGGAGCGAAACGCGGAAATTCGATTCTCTTTTTCTGCATCACTAAGAAAAACAAAACAAAGGGGAATTTGAAAGAAATCCAACATTTTAGCATAAAATGTCTGCTCCAAACTATCTCAGTTTCTCCTTTTTCTTAATCGGATACCTTCCTGTGCATGATTGGGACTTGTTCAATCAGAAACAACCATAAAAAGGAGAAAGACGTCCATCCAACCAACCAAAATATCAAAGGAAGTCCAAGGATTTTAGTGAGAACGGGCATTTTGTTGCTCGAAAAAGAGAATGAAATCTAATTATTTAAGTGCATTTGAAGCACCAGTGATGTAATAATCAGCTCCTCATAGTCACAGCAAACTTAACCCTGTCACACTGCAAACACCTCAGACGGGGTTTACAGCCAATTAAAACTCCGAAGCTCGGCCAAGACAAATATTGACTGTACTACAATGGACGTGTGTCAGCTGTGGCACAAAGTTACTTAACTTTACATTTTGTTTCGCTTAAGTCACCCTCATTGGACTACATTACCCACTGGGAATGAAAATGGAAGTATTCAAGCTGACATTTCACAGTAAACAAATCAGAACCTCAGACAGCATCATGCAGCACAATCAGGCACAATTTAATTCCTAAAATAACCATAAAAATTCAAAACGTCTTGTCCACAGTAATTCTGTTGAGCTCCTTTGAGTCAAACACTTTGCTAAAACCTTCTGTTGTCCTTGCAGTGTTTTTAGTGTTACAGTAGCTGTCTGCTGGACAATCAAACAGTCGCAATCCCAGTCAGCACCACCTATGTTTGCACAGGTTGAGTCACAAGACACAACGCACAGTGTACACAAACACACGCACACACAAATTTATATTGTTAAGAAAGAGGAGCTGCTTCGGTATCTTACGTTGTCTGACTCTACTGTAAGGTTAGGAAACATTCATGCAATTATCGCACAGTTTCTCTGACCTGCCTGAACCGTGACAAGGACTGGAAAATAAGGAAATGAATCTGTGAACAGGAAAGGATTTAATACTTGATCTCCTGTGGCTGTAGTCCTTCCCTACATCTGGCAGGTTTCATCGGAGGAACAAGGTCTGAACCTCGACTGCTGAGCGCCTTGGATCTGTCAAGTCGAAGGGATCCATCTGCAGCGGAGACGAGTTTGTCAGTAACGTCACTGTGCAGTTGACGTATACAGTTCAATCAAACCTTATTACTTTTCATTTTCGGCAGACGCCAAAGTGGAATTCCTTCCATGCCTCATTGTTGACCCCAGGGCACTGATTGAGTCACAGTCCATCCCGATGATGAAAACACTAAAATGTGGTATTTTCCAAGTGGAAGATGTGATTCTAATCCAATAGGGTTTTTATCAGATTTGATGAATGTCTCCTCTCAGGGTCCACTCTGTTCTGTGTGTACTGAAGAAATCCAGTGTTTGTTCACAGATTTGATTCTGTAAACGGGAAACAAAGTGGCACCAAAGAACACGCCTCGCTGAACGTTCATGTTTGTGCACAGAACAGGGGGGAAAGTTGAGCATGCAGGGCGGTAAATCTGGCACATGCTAACTAAAAGTCAGGTCAGTCAGCTTGACCAGCCATATTGGTCAGTAAGACTGACTGCTACCAGTAACCAGTAACCAGTAACCAGTAACCCGGTACTACCTGTTCATGTTTGGGCAGCTGGCAACTAAACCGGCTCAACCTACCTGTTTGTTTCCAAACAGTGTAGGTGGGTGGGTAGATACCCTGTAAGAACCAAAAATAATATCTGCAGAAGGCGGACGAACTCCTAATGAGTCAACGGCCATCTACCAAACTGCAACTCTCCAGTGCCTCTGTTGTCCTGACTTATGTCTTACCACAGAATCAAGGTTCTGGAGCAGCCAAGTGGCCTTGAATCGTGCACTCGAGTCCGTAACCCTTTAGCACACACTGTCCCGTGAATAAAGTTTGGTCATATGCCTTCGGATAACCGGTAGGTAACCAACACGTCACTGAAAAGTACAAGCCAGATGAAAGGCTGCTGAGGCCCTCAAACTAGGACAGCTTCCCGGGTAGATGCCTGAACAAAACTTACACAGACCACCATGCTCATGTCAAGCGGGAGTGTTGATGCTAACTAAAAACTCCATCTTTAAAAGTCCACAAACATTTTACAAAGCTAAGCAAACGGAGGATCATGAAAGTACCTCTAAAGACAACCTGCTACTAGATCAGAAGTAAAAGAGGAAATATCAAAGCACTGGGGTCAAAAATGAGGCTGGATTCTTTGTTTGATCACAAAGTCTGCATTAAATTAAACCCAGCAGCACAGTAAACAACAAACGCACCTAAACCAACCGCCTTCCCTTGTTTCATGGAGGCCAGGATGATCTCCGAGCCGTGGATCTTGTCCTGGTGTCTGAGGGACTTGGCCTCGTAAAACCACTCCCCCGTCATGTACTTGAGGTTGGTGTCCGTCTGCGGGTCGCTGTGAAGTATTTTCTCCAGCTTCCTGTCGGGACAAACACAAAAGAGACATGTGCGAACGATCAAGTCAAGAGGTTTTTCCTTGTACAGTCATTTATAGCTCTTTTGTTCACCACGTTAATCCAAGCTGAGTGGCACGTCTCGGTGAATGGCTGCAGACACACAAAAAGAACAAAAGCAAGACAATGCTCGCTTTAGGGTGAATGGAGAATCTGACACCGTTTTAATTCAGTTTAAGCAGCGCTAATCTCCAAATATGAGATGAAACACAAAGCCAGGGGCAGACAAAGGAAAGATAAACCACCTGAAGGAAATGGAAGTAGTTTTGTTTAAGGTTTAGGTTGCTGTTATTTTTACTTGTTGCACAACATTTCTTTTTGTTGCTAAAAGTTTTGCATTTACTTGCACCACAAATGCTTCCACATCAGCTGCACGCGATTGATCTGAGCGAAGGAATTCGGAAAAAACATTCTCATCAAGTCGAAATTAAATCAAAGAGGAGAACAAAATAATTCCACTCCAGCTCATCTTCCCTTTGGACGGAGAAACACGGCGGTCATGTGAAGAAAGGGTAGCACATTATTACAGGCTGTTGGCTTAATCCTTTTACACTGGGCTGCTGGAGACACAGCGAGCATTCAGCCTCCCGCTGATGAAAAAGTCAGCCGGCCAGTTCCATTAAACTCACAATGAAAGGTCATTGTTTCACGGCCTTTTTTGACTTTTGAAAGTCATTTTTACAAACATGACATATTTAGGTTATTTGTCGGTTTTCACACGTTGCTGCGAGGTTGTCCTTTTACTCCAGGACATGGGAGAGGTCAGAGCTTCTTGTTTGTCTTCACAATCCCTGAACATACACAGTGAGGAATGTCTGACCCTCCCAGAGGTGCAACAACGAGCCGGGACAGAACAGATATTTAATTTAAGTTGCAAGATTTAACATTTTTCTTTAATTCCAGACTGAAAGGAGTCGTACCAGGAGTCACTGCCAAATTAAAATATTTGTCCATCAGGCTCGTCACAGCTGACGTGTCTCTCATCACTGAGGCCTTTGAGGGGTTTCTATTCTCGTCCATCAGACCAGCATGATCCTCTCCCATGTGTGGACTTCAACTCGGCTGTAATCTAATTGCTCATCTCACATTGAGGTTTCTCAGCGGCGGAGGCAGCGTCTGTATCTGGCAAAGCTGTTATTGCGTTATTCTATTATGGGCAGACGAGTATTATTTGGACCGTCCCACAAAGAACTCCTCTCAGAAGGAACTTGGGAGCGCTTATTGAATCGATAAAATGACATTAGCGACATGACATTAACTTAAATGTTTCAGCTCATGTAAAATAACTCGAGTAGGAAAGAGCAGAAGAGGACAGAAAACAATCGCTTAAGGTTGTCTGAATGTGATTTAAAAAAAAAAAAAAAACATTATATATATGATCAAAACTTGAGTTTTTCTACCTTATTCTCTCCTCCTCGGCCTTCTTCAGCTCAGCGTCCCTCCTCAGCACCGTCATTATCTTCCCCTGTTCCTCCTCCGTCAGGTGGCTCAGGTCGATCATGGTTCCTCCTCCTGCTTCTTCTCTCAGGTGTAGAAACGCTCAACGAACGATGGGGCTGCTCGCTGTCGGACAAATCACACAAAGTAAAAGTTTTCCGTCAGAGTTCCTCCATGTTACAGCTGCACAACAAAGAGAAGCAAAATAACCTTTTTAGGAAAATTTGGAAACTCCATCTCCAAAGACAGGACAATCAGCCACTAACGTACTGTGTGAGTTGACATAAATGACCAGCATGCAACTCTTCAAACAGTGCACTCTACTTACTTCCATTAAGGTTTGTGGTAAAGAGCAACGAATGCACCTCTTAGATCAATTTAAACCAGAAACATCTGTAGTACTTGACCCCATTAAAAATAATTCTAGCAAGTAAGTTAATTGCAAAGTGAGAATTATTGTTTCTGTATTTATTCTGCACACTGATGGAAAGTACTTTGCTGAAGCACTGGGCTACATTTCGCCGCATTACTTGACGATTTTAGTTACTTTGCAGAAGATTTACATCACAAAACAAGTGATAAAATGTATAAAATCCACTTTATTATCGATCAAACCTGTGGTTTTCTGCTGTTTTATGGTTTGAGACGCCTCACACTCCCCCAAAAAGTGTCCTTAATCCCACAGTTCATAACAGCTACATTTCTCCTGATAGTTCATACACAATAGTTAAGACTGGAGAAAATGTTAAATTGAAAAGAATACCCTTTTGTGTCATTTTTTTCTTCTTTGCAACTTTATCAGTTGTCTCCCAATTCAACAGCAACAGACCTTTCATGTGATCCCAAGGAGGGGCCCTGCCCTCATGTTGGAAACCACTGGCCACCCTGAACCAACTGCAACAGTAAAACGATACTGACACAACGATCTACAAAGTCACATCTGATAAAAAATCAGTCACAGGAGGCATGTTCCTGTTGTTAGTCATGCTTCTGCACTTCAAATAGGCTTTTAAATGACAGACTTTTAGTTGTAAAAAGTATTTTCAGATGGGTATTTCTGCTTTAATGAAGGACCTGAGTACCTTCACCACCACTGATTCAGCACTTTGAAGCATTTAAATACATCTTGTATTCCTTTTCTGCAAGTTTATTTCGGGAAGAAGCTGTTCACACCACAAGTAAACTACAAAAAAAAAGTTGCTTTTGCCTGACAGTAAACTGACACAAGATCTGATACTGTGTTCTGTGCAGCTGCTGATTGTTCAGAGATAAAAGTGTGAAAGCTTCAGGGTGCAACAGTTGTTTTTTTTCTTCTGTTTAGCAAACTACATTTAATTTAACTGAAGATTGTAGAGTTGGCTTTAAACGAGGCAAATCTTCCTTTCAATCATAAGATCAGGAGTGACAGAAGTTTACCTGCTCTTAGGAGTCCTTCCTTCCTTCTCACCTCAAACCCAACAACAATAACACAACTTGCCTTTACCTACTTCTAGTATTTGCCTACCTTACTGTGCGCCTGCAGGCCTGTCACAAACCGCTCCTGCAACTCCCATCTCGCCGTGGTGGTGAAAAACCCCTCAAAAAACACAGAGAGTGTGTGGCTCCTCCGCAGGTCTGCTGGATGCGCTGGAGTGCCCGGACAGGAGCGCTGCAGAGGGGGCGGATCGGTGCGTAAAGATGGGGAGGATCTGATGCGGAGAGAGGCAGGATGAAGAGGCAACACTTCAGGTTGTTGTTCTTTTATCGGTCTGCTGTTCCCATCGTTTCATTTCAGATGTTTAATGAGGAATTCGAGGTTTCACTTTTTACCTCACTGATGAAAATTTCAGGGAAGGGCGTTGATCCATTTGTGCTGTAATGGCAGGAAGCGCCCAGCAGGTGTCCCCAGTTCACACAGGTTGATGTGATGTTTGACAAAAGGGTGTGAGCTTCCCCACAGGAAGGTATTTCATTTTATTTCCATCTGTTCTGCACTTTTACATTTTTTTTTAAATGTACAGGCAATACACATCCCCTCTGTGACCTTGATGCGACTCTGCTTCCATTTCACATCCATGGTTTCCACACCTGATTCCCTCCTGATTTCATGCTCAGAAAGAGAAGAAATAAAAACCAAAAAAAAAAAAGGTGGAAAACAGAAGCTGCAAAACATCCTTCCTGGGATGTTCTGCTGACCTACTTGTAAAGTCCAGGTGGAATACTTCCCGCTTTCTAAATTCTTGTTTTGGGGATACGTGAATAATCCATGAATTATGCTGATGATTTTGTAGCTTGTGACTGATACGAACGAGGCCTATGTGAGAACATCAGAGGAAAAGTAAACCGAATCGTGTCTAGTTTGCAGGCTGGAATGCCAATAAATGGAACAAAGTGGGCAGCTGTCCTGCAGCCCTGTTCCTCACAGGCCCTCAAAAACCTTTAACAAAATGGTTTGTGGGAATTTAATTATAACTTTCTTTGGGAAAGGCTGACGCTGTTGCACTGGGTCCCTGATCTTAAAGAGTCTTCCTTGAAAACATTCCAAGTGTCAGACATTTTAAGACTCACTGTGCTTCATCTGTTTGGTTTACAAGGTGCAAAAGTGCCCCAGCAAACCAGGATCCATGTATATTTCTGGATAAGCGGCAGGGGGAAACTGGAGATGAATTTGGGGTCTAGATACATAAAATGTCAACAAATATCTCTTATGTTGATAGCATTAATTATGATCTAGCAATTATCTGTTATGTCAAGAGCTGCTATATGCTGTTAGGCTTTGAAAAATCTTAACTAGCACTAATCTAAACCGTACTAAAAACAACTAAAATCACTGAATTTAGATGTTCCTGCACTCGTGTAAATGGACTCTAGTGTGCTCAGTTAAACTTACATTGAAGTCCCACTCTGGTCATTGATAAAAGTCATCTGTGTATCAAAGGCTGTATTTAGGGGGTTTTCTCAATAAAAATAGTCCCTTTATGCCTTAAATATAACTCTACACCATTCTCTTATTCTTGAATGTGCAGCTCTCACTCCATTTGCTGCAGTTCAAGCACACCAGCTCACCCAGAAGTGGTGCAATACGACTCTGAACAACACAATAGCAAGCTGTAGTATGGAAGAAACTCAGCTGTACATGTAGAACCAACCAGACACTGAAAGACCTCACCCTATAAAGGAGTTGGAAGAAAGGAATTGGTTCCTTTGGTTTGTTACATACTAACCTGACTCACCAGATGTTGACTACAGGTATAAACCTATCAGTGGTGTTGAAACAAACAAGTTTTGTGAAAGATATGGATCGTGCAACCAGGTGTGAATTAGCCATGTTGATAACAGTGCTCACCTTCCTGTGTAAAGAAACACAACAAAAACAATTTCCCCCGTAACTATTTTGAGGGGGCACCATCACTGCATCCCGGGTTTAGCTCCACCCAAGATCACTATCACTTTAAACCAATCACAAACAAGCCAGTGGTTGTTTTTCACCTGTAGCACAATGACAAGTGCAGTCAGGTCTCATTATCTGAAACTTGTTGCGTATGAAACACCACCTGTCTAAATCTATGTTTTGGAGCCATCTGTAGCCGACTGTTGATTCTGCATCTGCCTGCATATAAAAAGACAAAAACAAAACACTATGCTGACAAAGTAAAAACTTGATTTTCACCAGATGGGCTCTTGAACGTTCACCTTGACAAAACATAAACAAACAGTAGTTTTGTGGAAGCTGCTCTTTATTTGTAAAAGAAAGAAAAGACTTCAGTCATTGTCTGCTACACGTTCTAATTACATAAAGAAAATATCTGCGGAGACAAACGCAGAGAATATCCTGAATCAAACTTAGGTAGAGTCAAATTTGATTGAATTGCTTTCATATTTCATACATCTTTCACTTTTGCACTCAAAGAACAGTCAGTTTTTATATACACAGAGCACCGATCAACAGTGCTCCTCCGCTCCACCCTGGTCCTCGGGATCTTTTATACAATTAATTTACATCAAATCAGTGACCCTTCGCCGCCCCTACCCCCCCAAACAACATCGGCAACCAGCAAGCAGACCACCCACCCCCCCCACTCCCTCTCGCTGAGGAACTGTAGTGTGGAAAGATGTGTGCAACATGAAGACAACTCTTTCACATTCAGAGTAAAGGCAGCCTTGATTACAGTCAGTGAGTCAATGGCATGCCAAGCTTAAAGCAAATGGAGCCCACCACCCAGTGCGACGCTTCAGATTCGTGGATGAAGTGTTTTTCAACTAGTCAGGAAACTGATCCATTGCAAAATAAAACCCTAGGCACAGAATCGACTATATACTGTTAACTGACTCGTACTCTAACCCCCTGCACTTTAAGCGCAATGGAGATCGTGAAATCTTTCATCTAGTAAAAAATTTTCTTAACACAAAACTCGGAGAATATTTAGTGCTCTATCATTCCGCTTAATAGGTGTAATTTATATAATAGCTATTTTTTTTCTTGTTTTTTTTTTTTACTCTACCTCTTAATGATAGTCTGAGATCCTTGTTTAATGCTGAAGCACTCCCACAGGTGTTCAAAGTACTGTAGATTTTACATTATTTTTTTTTTTCCCCCAATCTTAAACCAATAATCATAAATAAATACAAACAACACACAAGGAATGTCTACTGTAAACACGGTAAAAAAGACAAAAACTAAACAGGTGTAAACGTCATTAGCATCACTACTTAGTGACAGTTAAATAACTGCAGGGAATGGATGACTGACGATCGGATCAAGAAAGGGAAGGACCGCTCTCCTTCTTCCTCCGCCCCCTCCCCGCTGAACATCAAGCCTTTTACATCCAACCACAGTATCTCCAAATACATAACATTAAAGTTTCTCAGCACCCAAACTATCTTTACAGATTACACTGTAAAACGGATAAGGAATCCTCTTAAGGGGGGGTTAGACAGCAGCATCACTCGACGTCTCGGACAAGTTACAGAATAATGGGTGTGAGCTATCGCCAAACGTCATTTGGACATGGTTACCATGGTTTCGGACAGTCGTTGCACCGCTGTGTTCTTGACATGTCTGTATTTGGGGGATGTGTGAATGTTTCTCTGAAGAGCTGGACTGCAACGAGGACAAAGTTTTGCTGCTAAGTGCTTCATCTTCCGAGAGACACTTCCTTCAAATTACATGAACTGCATCTGCAAGAAAGGCGACGGACAACGTCAGAGAACAGCTGTAACGTGCATGGAAATACTGGAAATCAATCAAGTTTAGTGGCGGTTCGCTAAACTTTCCCCCGATGCAGCGTAATGTCCAATGGCAGCAGCCACAACTAGGCACAGCTTTTGACTTTGTTTTGAAGTGCTGTTATCTTCTTAGGGTTTTAAACACCAAAACAGAAGTGCACAAGTAAGGGAGTGGGTAAAGCAGTGTGTTAGATAGTTAAATTGTTAATTGGTGGGGTTACAGGTTAAACAAAATGAATAATAAAAAAAGCCTCATTTAACCCTCTGTACCACAAACCCAAGTAACAAGTATGCTGTCTTTACAAAATCACCCAAATTACACCATTTATCAGCACCAAAAACTGTAGAGTTGTAACATTTTTAGTGGCCAAATTGAGCATCTGTGACATGATGTACAGTCACAACATGTAACCAAATCTAAGCTTTATATTTCTTCACAAGTAATAATTTGCTCTAACCAGATTCTGTAACGGAACAAAAAAAATAGAAGATTTGCGACTCAGTGAGACTTATGGGCTGAACTACAGGCTGTGTGGAAACAAATGTAAATAGTAAAACATCTATGGTATGTAGAGTTACCGTTATCCTCAGTATTGGTAACACCTGTCGGCACTTTATGTGTTTTTAGTTTGTGCAAAATAAGTAATCAAAGAAATCCAACTTTGGTGTTTTTGTTTTAGTGATTTATGGCATCATATGTATGTTATACTGCAAAAAATACACTTTGAGTTCATTCTACTTCTAGCCATAGACATGCTGTTTTCAGATGCAGGACTTTATGTTGCATTAAAAAATCAGCAAAAAATGCCCAGAAAGTGCTTACAGTCCAGAGGGTTAAGACAAATGTAGGCTAACATCAATGGATAAATCCTGTTTTATCGGATCTTAGAAACCCCAGCAGGTCGTTGGTTAGTTCTCACCCCAAGTGTCTCTGACCTTGTAGCGTCAAATTAAAAATATATATTTGAAAAGGTCAACAAGCATGTGAGCTTAGTAGTGAGAATGAAACGACAGTCTAACAAGCTCAGCACTGCAAAACAAGAGCAATGCGGCTTCTTATTTTTTGTCTTCTCCATAGATCATCATGGGATGAAGATCTTTTTTTCTTTTTTTTCCCTGAAAACATTATTCAGGTTTTTTCCAACTCTTGGATCTAACGCTGGCTTAATTAGGTAGCTAAAGGCAGTTACAAATGAGCAGTTTACAAAGTAAAATTGAAGCATTGAATTTTTAAAATGAACTTGCCGGCAATTGTGCCTGCAAACTGCATTTAATAAAAACTTGGGGGGAGAGTTTAGCGAAGAGGCAGTTCGATTAACAAATGGCAACAAAATTCAGAGAAAGCAGGTTTGAGCAATATGTGATGGCAGCAGAGGAACAAAGGGTCAGAATGATTCTGGCTAAATCTGCCACAACAAGCAAGAAATCCAAGCAACAAAGGTCATTCAAAGCAAAGTAAGTGACATTAACACATGTAGCATCTAATTAGATGGCGAAGACATCAAGTATGCAAAGGTAAAAACAAAAAGAAGAAACAAACGGGCATTAGCACTGGACATGCAATGCATGCAGGTGCATCCGCAAGCAAAGAGCATGATGTACCTAAAGAGATGCTCTACAAGAAATCCTTGAGAGAGAGGTGTGCAAACGGGTCCTGTCCAGGGGCTCGGAGAGGACTCTGGCTGGAAGGACTAGAGGCTGCAGAGGGCTATTTCAGGAAGAAATACAGGAAGTAGGAGGACCAGAGGAGAAGTCAGAGTCAGTACAGAGACTGAAGGAGGGATGAGATTAGTTTGGAGAAGCTGTGATGTATGAAAGACGGGTTAATAGAAAGGAGTTGTTCGGAACAGGGAGTCAGAACAAGGGAGATGATTCACAGTTTTGTCCCTTTCAGCTCCGGAGAGTGAAGGGCTCATTGTTGAAACTGTCATCATCTTCGGCAGTATTCACACCGACAACAAAGCTTACACAGTGACTAACTATGGTACACGTCACAGCACAATGGATACACCTATTTACTCAACCTGATAACTGTGCAAATAGATACCGACTTCATTGTGCATCACCTCGGTGCAGTAGTCAGGACTGATGTGCACCCACCTGAGCACTAGACACAGAGCCAAAGGGGTTGGGTGGCCTCATGACAGGCTGGGAGTACATCATGGTGGGTGGATTCATCATCCCCATAGAGCCCATCTGTGGAGGCTGCAGCACAGAGATCAGACAAGTTGCTTTATTTGCTTTACAGATGTAAGAACACTGTTGACAAAACGAGTTCCAATTTGAGAATTTGTTAAATCTATCCGCAGCTGATATTACATTCATTTAATATATCGATTCTATAACTTCAAATGCTGTTTCTGATGTCAAAGAATTAATTGTGAAGCTTAGAAGACACCATTTATGTCAGAAAAAGCAATCTTTTTCAACTACATTTCAGCAGCACATGATTATAAAGTTAATTTGACATGAGGGTATGACCAGATACATAATTAAACATGAAATCTGCTTCTCTTTTGTCATTTCAATAAAACAGACAAAATTAAATGTCTTTTTTGAATCTGAAAAAAAAAAAGAAGAATAAAAACAACCTTGTGCCTGCCGGTAAAATATTAATATTTATGAGCCGAATGCGCTTTAAATATAAACTATTGAGAATTCTCCAGCCTTTATTTTATTTATAAAACTTGAGAGAATATTCATACTGGCAAAAACATTGACTCACTTGACCCAGTTAAAGCGCATTTAATTAGTTCTCTAAACGATGCGAAGCAGGTAAAAAAAACACAAAAGCATTTATCTAACATGAACATCCAGGGTGTGAAATCACAATTCATTTTCTTGACTTCAAAGGCAGATGAGCAGCGAGCGGAAGCTGCACAGACGCAACACGTTACACAGCAGCATCCTCACTTACCATGCCGTATCCCATCATGCCTGTGGGTGTGGTGGCGGGGAAGGCCATGATTGACGGTGGCTGAAGAGACAAGAGCGCTGTCAGTAAGGATTAGCAACACGGTAACGAAGCAGCGTAACATTACGTAACGGCTACACGCGTAGCGAGCCGAGATCAGGGCGTCACGTCCGGTCTAGCCTCCTTTTTTTAAAAACATTTTTGCATCTCCTATAGCTGACTGCAAGCTCTCACTCTGGCTCCTGTAGTTTACTTTGCATGTTATAATTACACACTGAGACCTTTGTAATTTTCGTTATTCTTCCATATTTTCTGCCTGAAATTAGAGCTCTAGGAGTGCATTCAAGAAATGCTGAATCCATAATATGATATCCCTATCTAAAAGGTACAACCCATGTGGCATACTGTTGAAAAAGCCTCTGTTTCAAGGCTGTATCTTCAGTTATGAGCTGTATTATATATGTCAGAGAGGCATTTTAAATGAGGTTCAATGATTTCTGGAACCCAACTCGGTAGTTGTGGTTCCATGTCAGCGCTCTAGTGAAATAAAGAAGAGGATGCAGCAGAGGCACATATCACGAGCACTACAGTGACTACAGTGAAAGGCCTGTGTGTGTCACCATGGAAACGGGGTTCCAGGTCGTGGTCGGCGCCGCCTTGGGCTGCCAGTTGGTGCCGCCGGTCATCCTCTTCTCCCCCGGCTGGCTCCAGTGGATGTCACTGTGGATTAAGACAGTCGATGTTAGCGCCGGCTCCTGACTGCCCCCAGAAAGCACAGAGCTGCGACGAGCCGCCACTTACTTTTTCATGGTGCCGTTTCCGATGCCGAGGTCTGTAACAAGGGAAATTTCGAGGAGCAGCTGTTAGTCCGCTAATGTTTGGTCATTTTGTGCCCTAATGAACATGTGCTTTAATTAGCGAGGCAGAAAGCAAAGCATCACACTCACTGCCGACAAGGTTGGCCAGGGAGGAGTCAAGGTCATCTGACACCAGCTTCTCTGGCTGCTGATTGGATGGCTGGTTGGAGCCGGCAAGAGTTGGTTTCAGGATGCCTCCAGTGATATCTGACAAGACAAACAAGATCAACCTTTTATAAGTCACGGAGGACTATATGTTTTGCCAATAAACCAAACGCATGACTGTGCTTTCTGTTATTATAATTTATATTTTTCCTACTCTTCCTCCACTAACCTACTCTTCTAATGTCACTATGCTGATGCTTTATTTCCATTATTAGAAAAGAGACGACAGGAAATGAGGGCAGGGACACATGGAGGAGTGACATGTAATAAAGGGCCACCGCCAGATGCCATCTGGGGGACGTTGCAGTTCACGGTCGGCACCTCGTAATAACTGTAAATGCACATCAGTGCTCAGTCTTCTGTTGCAATCTCTCATAATGAAATACACTGCAGTTACACCACACAAAAAATAAAAAAAACATCAGACCTCACATGTCTACTGGTCTCACATTCATCTTTTGAGACTTATTTTTCATAAAATGAGAAATGGAAAGTGTCAAGTGGGGTGACATCATTAAACTGCTTAACAGGTTCTCTATTTTGAGAGTTCCTTTCACAAAGTATTGACTGCTACCAAAACAAGAATTGAAATCAGCTTTCTTGATATTTTTATTATCTTGCCACTTCTATCCAAAGTGCATTCAGACTAAAGAAGAATAAGAGCTGGAGGTCATCAGTGGAGGAACAACTGAATGCATGTTCAGAGAGCGACTGCACAAATGAAAAATGTCATCTTTTAACTTAATGTGACAAACCTGTTAGCAAACACTTGTTTTACATAGAATTCTAGCATCACCACAGCAATGTCATCATGAATTTGTAGCTGTGGTCTCCGGGCAAATATTCACTCTCGTTTAACTCTGCTTTGGTCAACTCCTGTAAAAAATTAACTGGTTCTAAATGCAAAAGGTTAATAGTTGTGTTTACCATCTAGTAATTAATCTAGTGTCATTGCTGTTCGGGGCATTTTAGGCGGCTTGTGTTGGCATTTGGAGGATTTTTATGTAAAGCTGCTGCCTGTTTTGAGAGAAATTACACTATGAGGGAAGTGACAATGAATTAAAACAACGTTAAGACTTTGAGTAAAGCTTCAGATTGAAGTGTTGAGTCATTTCATGCATTTTTATTATATAAAATGATTATTGTAGCTGCGTCAAAGAAATTGCTAGTACAAGGTTATATGGCAGATGTTTTTGTTTTCAATACTACAAGTCCATTAATGTTTTTCTTTTATATAGCTATGATTTGAGGTCCATTGTCTATCAGCTTTGTCTTCCTCTGTCTTGCGCTCAAAGCGTCACCGTGAGGTAATGGTTTAATAACTGCTGAGCATCAATACTAACGTGCAGACTATATTTTTCCACGATGACTCACATCATATATTTCTGTCCAGCACCTGGAACTCATCACATAGATGCGTATGCTTTTTGTATGTTTTTTGCTGCTTGCAGATACTGAGTGATAAAAATAGCCCAGAAAAGACAACAGTGTGTTCTTGCAGTGGCAACCTGTGAAACAGGGCCAAGTGCTGCAGATGTTTCAGCTGCATCTGACATCAGGAACAGACACAGCTCTCTGAAACAGACTACATGATTTGATGTCCGTCTAACATCATGATTTTTTCTGTTATTTCTTGAATCGACTAAAGCTGGTGTTGAAGTATTGTAGATTTTGTCAAGAATCACAACATAATGGAAAAACGATATCAGCGGACCATACCTGCAATGTCTTTCAACATACTATGAATATCTTACTTCTGTGTAAGCTTCTGTGTACACAGAGCTTGCAATGCAGCCAAAAAGTCCCTCAGCTTTTATCATATGACCGTTGGCTGCAGCTGAATCCAATTGCTTCATGGCTGCACCAAGGAGTGCAGGATTTTTTAAAATGTATTTATTTAAAAGAATCTGAACAGAGGAAACTGTTCATTTTTTTTTTTTTTTTTTTTTTAAGAGGTCCATAGAGCTCTCCTCTCTCTGGACATAACTAAATCAGGAGGCCCATATTGTTTAGAACCTTTTTTTTTTTTTTTTTTTAAATTTAGCTGTTATTTTTATAAAATGCCATGATATTAAAGCTTAGATTTGACTAATTTCCCCAAACAAATAGCATTTCACAGATGAGCAGGACTGTCAGAAATCTCAAAGTCTGACAAGTCTCTCCATTTTTAAAGTTTCTGGTTCTGATAAATGGTATAATTTTGGCAATTTTGTAAGACAACATGCCTCTAAAACCCATCAACGGCTTTTGGGGTTCAGAGGTTTAAAAGAAGGGCTTTGAGCAAGGCTGAGCTTCGATTCATTATCTGCAAATGACAATTGAGCATGTCTACCTCACTCAAATACAGAAACTTTTTAAGACAGGTATTGCATTAGAAAGTACAAGTCTCACCATCAGAATTGAGGCTGCTGCTGCCTGAGGCTTTGGCTCCGAAAACTGACTCAAAGTCCACCTGGAGTCCACCTCCTGACTGTTGTGGAGGGGCCTGTGGCGTTGAGTATCCTTCAGAAAGAGACGTAAAAGAAGACAGCTGCAGTCACAGAGCTACATGAGGTGAGATTACTCTGAAAGCTGTTCACTGCTTGGACTAAAGGTTTCTGCGCTGGCCCGTGTAACTACAGTGTCTATGTTTAATTACAAGACACTTGTTGCAGAGAGCAGACTTCCTCCACAGAGCAGGAAACTAGCAGGAATCCACAGCTGAATGTGCTGGAGAGAGCCTTCAGTACTCTACCTCTGAATAGACCTGCTACAGTAGAGGGCTCAGTGGGGAAGGGAGCCTGATGTGGGAGGTGCTGGGCAATGGACACTGGACCACAGAAGGAGTCTGACACGCCACAGGAAGCAGGACGAAGAAGAAGAAGAAGAAAAAGAAGAAGAAGAAGAAGAAGAGAGAGAAAGAGGAAGAAAGAAAGCAAAAAGGAAAAGGCATTTCAAGGCCAGGCCGAAGAGACAGGTGGAAAAATGACAGAAATACAGGCAGGAAGAAGACAGCTAACATGTGCAACAATTTTAAAGTTGTTACAATTTTGTTGTTTTCTTTATATATATATATATAGTTTAAGTAAAATGTAGGAGAATAAAACACTGCAAAACAGTATCGTAGCAACCCAGAGAGAGGGATTAAAGGAAGAGTTTGACACTTTAGGAAATAATAGCTCTTTTTTTTTTGGCTGAAAGTTAGATCAGATCCATGACAGTCTCAGGTCGGTACGGTAAACACGAGGCTTCAGCAAACAGATGGTTAGCGCAGCGTAGCATAAAGACCCACTAGGTCTCTATTATTTTAGTCAACAAACTCCGACTGTAAGCGTTTTTATGACAGAGAAGCAACATTACTGCTTTATTTGGCTACAAGATATTGACCGCTAACAGGACGTCCCTCTAATAAATATCAGTCTTGTGTCATTCCACTTCAAGTAATCAACAACATTTCTGCTTGACCACATCTGATTTGAATTGTATTTTCAAAGCATATAATAAAAACATTTCTAAAGACACTTGTGAAATTTTAGCTCGATATTTCAAATAAATTTTTTTTTTTAAATTAAAAATTGACCATTTTCAGTAGGTTTTACTTGCACATTCATATTTGAGGCTATGTTTCAATGACCATATCTTAGGAACTATTAAAAAAACACGCTTGAAATTTGTTCTGTTAGTTGTCATCATGCAATTGATTGAGACAATACAATATTGGACAAATAGATCAAATAGTGTCTGATAATGGGTGAGTTGGACTTTGCAATAAAACTGAAGCCGTTCCTAAGAAATATTATTTTCTTAGTTATATTTGTGACCGGGGCTGCAAGGTGGAGCTGTTGGTTAGCACTGCTGCCTCGCAGCAAGAAGGTCGCCGGTTCACGTCCTGGTGAGGACACCTGGGATCTTTCTGCAAGGAGTTTGCATGTTCTCCCCGTGCAGTGTGGGTTCTCTCTGGGTTCTCCAGCTTCCTCCCACAAGGTCCAAAAACATGTTGAGGTTAATTGGTTAATTTAATTTGTCCATAAGTGTGAATGTGAGTGTGCTTGGTTGTCTGTCTCTAAGTGTAGCCCTGTGATAGACTGGTGACCTGTCCAAGGTTGTCCCTTGCCTTCACCCTGAGTCGGCTGGGATAGACTCAAACCCCCTCCTCAAAAAAAAAAAAAGTTTCAAGGAAAATTTGCTAATTTACAGAAAGATATACGAGTGGTACTAATTTTAAGGCGCAAAAATGAATGTATATGTCTTAACATGTCAAACTTTTCCTTTAATACTCATTCATGTCCACATTTCTACCATAAATATCAAAATAATGGCTCTGGGGGATTTGCACAGGATCCTATGTTTGCCAGGAAACATAGGCTGAGATGGTGAGCCATCATAGTACCTGAGATGGAGTGTTCTATCCGCACTGTGCGTTTGTAATTGGTTGAAACGGATGAGTTTGTGTCAATAAAGGGATTGTAACGATCTGGAGAATCAAAAATAGTGTTGGTAAAAGGAGAACAGGTTTCAACTTAAAGCTCTATGGCATCTTTGCACTACAATGCAACACCAACTGTTCATTAAAAGAGGATGAGCTGTAAAGCAAATGCGCGCATGTTCTCTATAGTGGGACTTAGAGGGTCCTGGTTAAAACATAGGAGGAATTAAGAGGCTAAAAAGACAACATAATCTAAGCTTGGCATGAACAGCAATGACAAGAGAAGATATTTTAGACATTTGCACAGACAGAGAAATCGACATTCAAACTACAGCAGCACAGTAAACATGCGTTCTATTCATGCTCTTAGGTAACTACAGACAAATGAACAATAGTCGACAAGACTTCTGAGGAGGAACAAAATGAGTCGTTACCACCAAACATTTCATGACCAGATGTCCTAGAGGAAAAGCTAACACCGTCTGAAGACACGACAGGTAAGTGAGTGGCATCGACAACGAGTTTTGAGAGGAAAGGGTTAAGGTTTGGCATGGAATCATCTCCAGCTTCAGCAGAGGTGAAAGGATCTACGCAGGCAGAGGAAAGAGAGACAGAGAAAAGAAGGAAAAAAAAAAGAAAAGAAAAGAAAAAAAGACAGAAGAGAGTGGAGAGGAAGAGGTGGGCGTCAGAGTCAGACAACAACAAGAGAAGGAGAGCATGCAGAACATGTCACCAAAGTCCAGAAACACGGATGTGGGTTGGAGGCGGCTCTTTACCTGCCCACGCTGTCGCCACTGGAAGCCCTGTGGAGCCTGATTGCATGGAGGGCTGGAAAGTTGACTGCAGGTCAAAGAGGTCGCTTTCCATCTTCACAGCACTGCAGACAGAAAACCATAAAAATCAAGCCCTTTAAAAGCCCAATCTATCCTGTGCTAACAGTGGAGACACAAACCAAAAAGACAAAAAGGTTCCAGGTCTGGAAACCTTTCGATTATGGTTCTGATCCTGGTCTCTTCTAAAGCTAACATGCAAAAGAGCTGCATTAGTCTAGAAAATATGACACTGTTAACAAAGAAACATGTTGAAAGTGGAGGTCTTTGCCCTTTTTTATGGACTATACAGTCGTTGGAAAAGAACTGAATGAACTCGCAAAAAAATCGGATTTCACAAAAAAA